GAGCCATTCACACGTCTCATTAACTCCGGACTATGCATTGAAAATAACTGTGTCATATGAGTCTCCGATTCAATTCTCCCAGTTTATATCATTTATAGGTACCTTCCTGTCCATAACAGCAACTCCAGTTATGTAAAACTTTTTGTCTGTCAGTGGAGGAAAAGTGGTATGTAGAGCACAATAGAATAATTCTTTAGTGTTATTAATTGTTGTCATCCCAAATAACATAGGCCATAGAAGTATTTTAAATCCAAGCTCAAATGTGACAGGCATGGAGCCAACTCCTTCAAGACACCAGTGTGCCTTTGGTTCTGTATTTTAAACTTCTTGAACTTGTTTTTATCCTTTTTTAATTTACAACAGCAGTCAAGTTCAAGTTTCCAAGTAAGAAAAGTGTGAAGGCACTTGGAATTCAATAAGGCTCATACCATTGCCTACACATGGGAAGACACAAGGATCTTCTGCTTATGTGATTTATAGGATTGTATTTCTCTGCCGAGTGCCAACAGCAAGCCCTATGTTGTATCTGTCTGTGCTCTTGTATTAAGGTTTTTATAACAGATGCAGCACAGGGGTTTCTGTGTATCACATAGCACTTGCAAACTAAAGCACACATGTCCAAAGCTTCAGGAGGCACAATGGAGGGGTGATTGCAGAGATGGCTTTGGGGAGTTAGCTTTGATTTGTGCTGCAGTGGAGAAGCCATGGCAAATTCTAGAACACAAAACCCTGTCCAAAACAGGCAGGGGTACAGTAAATCCCAGAAAATGAAGCAGAGAGATGGGACAGATAAGGACAAAGAAAAGAACGAGCTGTCAAGGCTGGTATTAATAATGATGCGCAGCAGAGAGAGAAGTAGACAAGCCTGTGCCAAGGCAACTTTGCTGGATGCTGCAAAGGAAGTTATGAGATGACCTTGACAGTCTGTGTGAGGATACAAGAGCAGGTCAGGCACTTAGAGCAACACTGCAAGCAAAGCTTTGCTGGCAATCATTTTGTGCTTCTGCAGAGGTAATGTCAAGAGGAAGTCATTAAGGAAAAGGAGGCTGTCATCAGCAAGATATGAGGTGGACATGCATTGGAGAAATGTCAGGACAGAGGGCTGCTAAGACAGAGGACATCCCAGGTTCTTGAGGAAGTAGCTCATGAAATAACAACAGCTGGCATTTGATCACAGGTCAGATGTCCGGGAGAAAGTGATAGCTGCTCCCAGGTCCTGAGCCAACAGAAATATTGCTAGAAGGAAGTAAGAGTTAAAATGCTTTGGAATAAAAATTAAAGACCTGTTCACCTGTGCTGACCTCAAGTTATCAGCAACCCATGCAGAGCAATGCATCAGAGACAGGCCCAAACATACAGGGGGACAGCTGTGGGGAAGCAGATTTGTAAGCCACCAGCAAAGAAACAACAGGAAGAACCTGGAGCAGATGCAGAGGCATCCCTAGCAGGCACCTTGTGTTCTCTCACCCATGTTCTACATTCTGCATTGTGCTACATCTTGCTATACCAAGATTAAAAATTTACAGAGAAAATTCCTCCTTGGTCACTCATCCTTTCACTCTGCCCAAACCCAGACTAGTTTTATACAACTCTGATGATGGATTTTTCCTGAAAGGAGAGTCTCAAAATATGGTGCATGATTAATATTGCAGGACATCTTTTCATTTAGTATAAATTTCCTGACATTTACTGACATTCACAACCACTCTCACACCTTCTTGAATAAAAAAGGTGTTGGGTAGATGGAGGCATTCTATGGAACTCCAGTCTGGATTTGGGTCTAAATCATGAAGTACTTAACTAATGGATGTGATATATTCAATTAACTTGCACTTTTGTACATGAGGCAAAACCCAATGCTCTTTAATAAAGGTATGTTGTACTTTTCCATCTGATTCAAAGCTCTCTATCTCACTTAGGTACATGGCTGAAGGGGTCACCTGTGTTTGATTTGGAATTATAAAGTTTGTCCATGATTAAATATGAAAGCAAGTCTACAAATGAAACAGAGAGGGCTTGAAACCTAGGTCTGCTTGTACAGTGCACGTTGGAAAACCATTTCGAAAGGCATTTTAAATTTTGCTCTTATCTTCTTGCCAAATCATCAGTGGTTTGACTCACATATCAGAGTTTTCAAGCAAAAAAAAAAAGCTTCAGATCAACCTATTTACGTAGGAAAAGATTTTTCAAAACAACTGCACAGGGGCCAGGATCAACATCTGAACACGGGCTGAGTTGTTGCATTTTTAGAATTATTCCTTTCATTAAAGGCATGAGGGATATCTCATGCATCTTGGGGCATAATTCAGAGTTGTAACATCCTAAACCAGTAATTGCTGTGCTGGGTGAAACTCTCTCTTTGTATTTGTTTTGGAAGCAAAGCTTCCAAAGCCAGTTCCTTTCCAGCTCCATGGAGGAGAGCGTACTTTGCCTGTGATGCTGGTGGCTGCAGCAGCACTGCTGGATGTTATGGTGCAGATCTTCTGCAAGAACAAGACAATAAAGGGAGCAGCAAACTTCTTTCCATCTGCTTGCTGCTCTGGCAGTGAGCAGGCTCATAAAACTGAAAGTGGTTGTTCAAGCAACTGCACTGAGTGTCAGGGAGATACACTGGATTAAGAGCCTTTTATGTGCCAACTCTTGTTGAGCTCTTTGCTGCAATTAGCTAACAACAGACCACCAAAGTGAGGGAAAGCCAAATGTCTGTGAACAAAGACAGTGTGACTCCAGGCAGGGAGACTGCCAAGTGGGGTGGTGGCAGTGGTCCTAAAGTGAGTGGCTGCCTACAGAGAAAACCCTGCAAGAAGGGCAGCAGAATGGTCAGAACAAATAACTTTTTCTTCACTGTTTTAAAAATGACTTTTAATGAAAATAAAGATATGGACTAGAACATGCAGCAGTGTGAAATAAAACATTTTGTTTGACTTCTTTCTCCCTCCAGTCACTCATGTACTTTCTGCATTCCTTCCTATGCAGGGCCTCAGTTATCACTGCAAGTGCAGAGATGTTGCTGACTTGGAAGCAACGTGGAATTTGGTACAGCACTTCTGCAAACAGATAATCTGAGATGTACCCTTCAGAACATTCACCCAGAACATTCCCAAGCATTTTATCCCTGTGATTTGTAGCAGAGCTCTCCCCAGCTCTGAACTTCTGCAGTCACCAGTGGCACCTCTGGAGGCCTTGAGAAGGTTTAAGTAGCTCTCTTATAATGTCAACTCTGCTCCCAGAGGAGTGCTGATAAACTTTTCTTTGCAAAAGGCTTTATCTGGACCTGAGACCTTTGTTTTGCACAGGCAAATGGTCACAGCACATACCCCTCCCACTGCAGATACCCTTTCAGCGTTGGGTTCTCCTGTTGTGATACCCTCCCCAGCATGCCAGCCTGGCAGGAAGAAGGGTGGAGGGACACCCAAATCTTTAAAACATGCTGTGCTGATTTGCAAGAAAGCAACAAGGACAATTGTTATGAAATCTTTGCCAGATGGGAAAGATCTTCACCAAGAACTCTAGTGATGTCTAGTCATGTGGGAAAAAACTTCCTTTATGAGAAACTGTGGTAAACTGACTCCATAATCTGACCACTTGCCCGATGAGAGGCTGTCTAGCCCTGTTTTTGATCTGGGACACAGCAGTATAAACAAGGCATGATTTGATCAAAGTCACTGGAGGAGCAGAGGGGGATGCACAGCATGACCGTGAAGGACATCTGGCTTATTGCAGTAACAGAGTCTGCACCAAGTGGATTTCAAGCATCTCCCATTTCCAGCTGTTTTATTCTATGAGAAGATAGGCAATATCTGTAGAGATATTCCTGAAATGTCTGAAAGAAATAAGGCCACAATGCCTTGTGAAAAACCTTACTGAGAACTGTGCTGTATGCACAGCCTTTGGAGCAGCAGAGCCCAGAACATCTTACTGTACAGCACCTAGCCAAATCCAGGGTTTGGTCACTCCCCCTCACTCAGGAACAGCTGATTTCAGCCAAATTAACTGTGTTAATATGAAAAACTTCTTGGTGACAGGTGTTCAACACTGAGATTATTTAAAATGCCAGCTATGATATTTTTTCATGTGTCACCAGTTTGCATTGCCAAGCGTCTCGTCACAAGAAAGCATTAAAATTCTTGCAAAAAAAAGAAAAAAAAGTAACATTTTTGGCAGGGCACAGCATTGCAGCATTGGAAGAGAGAAATCTTGGAGGAATCGAGACAAACACACAGCTGGGAGCTGAAAAAGCTTCGCCAGCCACTCACTGTGCCCATCCCAGATTATTTATTTGCAGAATTCCCGAAGTCAGGAGGGTGCCGGGGTAAGAAAAGGCGAGTGGGGTGGAGAACCCAGCGAAAAACGGCTCCAAGCAGCAGCGTCGCAGGGAGACAACACCAAGCATCCTTTGAATAATGCCGCCGGCGCGGGGATGCGGGGCGGCAGGAGGAGGTGCGGAGCGCGGCAGGGAGAAGCGGGAGCCAAGTCCGCTGCCGCTGCTGCCTCTGACATCACCGCGGGACGATTTACATTTCCCGACGTCACTCACGAGCCCCGGCGGCCGCGGTGGACGGGGATGCTCGGAGCAGCCCCGGCTGCCGCCGCGCCCCCTGCGCGCCCTGGGCTCGCTGCGGGGGGAGCGGGGCCGGGCCGGGGCCGGGCGGGGCGGGCCGGGCCGGCGGCGCGGGGCCCTTTAAGAGGTGCCGGCGGCGCGGGAGGCGGCACAGGCCGGGCGTGCAAGGAGCCGCGGCCCCGCCGCCACCGCAGCCGAGCCCCGCGCGCGGCCCCCGGAGCCCGCCGCACCGAGCCCCGCGTCCCATTATAGCGACATCCATCGCACGGATCCCCGGAGCCCGCCGGGCGGACTGCACGCCGCGGAGCCCGCATCTCACCGCGCCGGGATCCGCTGCACGGACCGCACTGCACGGAGCTGCCCTGCGCGGCGCGGAGCCCCGCACCCTCCGCATCCCGAGCCCCATCGCCCCGAGCGCGCTGCCCCCGGCGCGGCGGGCATGGCCCCCGGCAGCCGGCGCGGGGGGGCCCGGCTGCTGCCGCTGCTGCTGCCGCTGCTGCTGCTGCCGGCGGCGGGCGGCGGGTGCGCGGCGGAGGGCGGCCCGCTGGAGCCCTTCGATGCGCTCTACGCCAGCGGGGTGGAGGCGTACTACGGCGGGGACTTCGCGGGCGCGGCGCGGTGCCTGGAGCGGGCGCTGCGCAGCCGGCGGGAGCTGCGGGCGGCGCGGCTGCGGTGCCGGCGGCTGTGCCGAGCGCAGGTGCGGCTGGAGGAGCCGGGCCCGGGCACCGCAGGGGACCTGCGCTTCTTCGGCTCGGTGCTGCGGCGCGCAGAGTGCGTGCGGCGCTGCGAGGAGCCGCGGCTGGGCGCCGTGTCCCGGCACCGCGCCGCCGAGGAGGTGCGCGCCGACTTCCAGCGCAGGGTGCCCTACAGCTACCTGCAGCGCGCTTACATCCAGGTAGGCACCGCCCGGCCCTCCGAACCGCCCTCTCCGAAGGGTTACCCGCGCTTCCACACTCCCGAGCATCCCACGTGTGCCCCTCTGCCAGCTCTCCCAGCCGTGCGGGTGTGGTCCGCACGACTTTCTCTGTGGTGTGTGCGGACAGTGGTCGTGGCCAGTTCCCGAGACAGGGAATCCTGGATGGCAACGTAGATTCCCTCCAGCTTTGGTTCACCTGTGCTTTTTCTGTCTTGTTTTGGGTGGTTTTCCTATTTGCTTTTGGGAAAGGATGTTTTTGTTTTAATGTAACACAGTATAATTCTGAAAATTGACTGCCTTCAGTTTGCAGAGAAAAAAACCCCAGAAACCCCTCAGTAACCCCCCAATGCCCTCTGCCAGAGGTGTTTCCCTTTCAGACAACCTGAACTGATTCCATGTTTCTGGAGCTGGGGCTGTGGGTGAAGCTGGAAATCTGGAATGTACATAACCTGTGTTCCAGGAACCTGATGGTCGTTGTCCTGATGTGATGTGAAATACTTATCAGTATTTCTGCAAAGTAACAGTGTGCAGTCAGTATTTAGCAGCTGCTGACATCCTGAGTACCATCCTCTTATCCCACTAACTTCTGCCTTATAACTGGTGCCTTCCCTGAGAAAAATGGTGTTACTCTTTGAACTTCCTTGCCAAAAAGAAGAAAAAAAAAACCCAGAGGAAAAAAAACCAACCCCCTTCCACCAACCCACACCATGATAATGGTATTTTTCTTATTCATTCAAGACTTCTGCTCTGTCAAGCCAGCTACCTGTAGTAAGTCTTCCTGTTCATGACTAGTAAGGACAAAAACTCTGGGAATTTTGTTTCATGCCAAGCAGAATGTTTAAAGCATTTCTGGAACATCTCCCTGTGGATTTCTGCTTTATTTGAGCACATTCATAACCTTTTAGTTGCTATAGGCAACTTAATATGTGAAGACCTGCCTAGTGGTGCACAGGGAGGGTGGTTCTGCTGAAGCCCATTTCTAGGTGGAGAAACAAACATCTTTCCTAGGCAGTGCTGGTGGTGCAGCTCTTATGCAGCAACATCAAGGAGGCAAACAGTCAGCACTCAAACCTAGTGGAAAATCATGGCTACATTGCTTTTCCCATGCTTCCTTTTCTGTCATTGCCTTAATGTCAGTTTTACAAGTCAGGGACTAGAACTGCATTGGCTTAAACTCTAGTGGCCATGTGATGCACAGAGTTCCTGAAAGAAATCCTGGGGGTGAACTGGAGCTGTAATTTGGCTTGTGTGCAGTGCCAGTGCAGCTGATGGTCCTTCCTATAAAAGATACTCTATGTAGTGTCAGCATCTGTGGGAAGTGACACAAAATTTGTCATGCTAAAAAACTAGGTGATTTCCTACTCTGATTTCAAAGCCTTTTTCAGACTCACTGATGTCAATCTCACTGAAGAACTTTGCTCTAAATTAAATAATAGGGTTTTTATCTCTCACTTCAGTAAAATTGATATATAAAACCCCAGAAAATCCTGGGTTGTGGGCTGTTCTTGCATGTATGCTTCTACTGAGACTGGGGTTATTTTCCTCATTTAAAATGGCATTCTGAGCTTATCAAAGCAATGTGTTGAAAACAGCCCTTTTAAAATTTATTTTATGTGTGACTCATCTTAATTTGCTTTTGCAACATCTGGGGATTTTATGTTCATGCTAACACTGATTTCACTGCTCTCAAATGGAGTAGTGGATGTTCTTGTTATCTGCATGGCCATCCAGGTGTCAGGCACTGGAGCCCAGGGAAGCTACTCTCTGATTAGACTTGTTTGTGTTTTTAATACCACTTTCTTTAACTCTTTCCGATTCTCTTGGGTTTTGTAAGCAGCACTCTGACCAGCCATGTCCCTCACAGCGCCCTGCAGTGATTTGTCCACGTCCTCAGCTGGCTGCTGCCTGTACCTGAGCTCTGCTCCCAGGATTGCCCTTTTGCTCTGGCTCAACAAGTCTGTGCACAGGAGAGAATGCCCCACATGGGATTTGCCTGCACTTGCACCAAACACGAGCTCTGCTGTCGTGCACTTGGAGGTGAACCATGCCCTCATGCCAAGGCTGAGTGCCAAGGCTTTGGCATGTTCCCTGGGGGTTGGGATGCATCAGCTCCACATCCTCTGCGTTGACTTTGGCTGCAGCAGCTGCTCAGCATTTCGTCTAAAAAAGGGAGCTTCAAAGTGGGGCTTGTGCAGAGCCCCCCTGCCTTGCTGTGGCAAGCTGCACAGCTCTGGGGGTGGCCACTTCACCCTTGTGTTTTGCTTCTTGAAACCAAAGAGAAATGCGATGAGGTGCAACACCCTGCCGTGCACCCTGTCCAGCTCCTCCCTGGGCTGCAGCACCAGGCCAGGATGCTGAGCACTGGGAGGATGGCAGGGTTTGGTGCCATTTGTGGTTTGAGAGAAGAGGAGCAGCCTGGAATGTGCTTCCCACCTCCCACTCTTGCTGACCTCGTGCTTGTTTGTTTCTCAGGAGGGGAGAAACACATCCCGTCAGGAGGGAGTGACAGAGCAAGGAACAGATGAAAAAAAAGGAAGGGTTTGGCTCTTGTGCAGCGCTTTGAAAAACGGTGCTGAATATACATGAACTAATCCTTGCAACACTCCTGTGGGGTAGGAAAAGCAAAGGCTTTCAGTCCTGCTGGACAGATGCACAGCCTAATGCTGGCCAGCACTGTGTGTGCCTCTGCTGTTTTGGGAGCAGCAGAGCTGCCCAGATGCCCTGGGAGCAGGCAGGGCTCCCCACTGCTTTTGGTGCCCCAGGAACAGGTTGGGGTCTCCCACTGTCTCTGGTCTCACTGCAGAGCAAGCACCAGCACAGCCTGGCCCAGTCGTGGTGCTGTCAATGAGACTCTGCAGTAAATTGCTGGAAAACTGCTGCTAGATTTAGAAGTTTTGAGCTTTTTTTGCTCCTTTTTTTTGCTTTTTTGGGACTTTTTAATCTGGATTGTAGCAGCAGCTGCACTGGGCTGCATTGCTCCTGCTTCTGAGCAGATGCTGAAGATATTAGTGCACAGAGCACTGTAAAGGGGCAGGGAGGTGATACTGTGTGTAGATGAAATACCAGTGCTATCCCTCTACAGAAACATGTTCTATCAGCCTTTGATGTGATCATCCCCATCATCCTATCAATTATTTCCTCATTTTTCCATTTTTCTGAAACAGAAACAAGTGTTCTTCTGAAGACCACTTTTCTATTTCAGAGACATGATCTGAGTGTTTCTGGTGACTCTGGCACACCTGGGTGTGGCAGGATCACTTTGCCCTCTCAAATATTTTATTAGTCATGTCCTCCTTGCTTTGCTGCTGTAGTCATCTTGTTTCTGTAAAAACCTAGCCTGCAGGCCATGATGTTCCTAATCCTGCTTTTTGGAGCTTTTCTAGCTCTGAGGGTGAGTGGAGGAGGAAATGTACACAATGTATATTGTGGCAGAGTTTGCTGCTGCGAGCTGCTGACTCAGGAGCCGTGTTGGAGCTTGCCCTGGATCTGCCATGAACCCTGTGACAGAGCCCTACTTCCATCCCCAGTCTAACTTCTACAAGTCAGCTTGGTCCAAAAACAACGAGTAACCTGGAAAAGTTGATCAGTGTGTCAATTGCAAAACCAAATCTTGTTTTTCTTCTACCTTACTGACCCTCCCCTTGAGGTCTCTTTCCTTTGTCCCATCCTGTTGCCAGCCACAGCATTTCCTGGCCTGCTTGCTGGGTTGATGCTATAGCCTATTTTAGTTTTCTGTGGATATTGGTGTGCTGTTGCTGAGCACTTCCTCCCACTTAGTAAATGTGAGTTGCAGTGGTCTTGTCTCCCCACTTTGCTGGATGCCTCGTTGCACATCAGTGAAGCATGGCAGGAATTGTGTGTATGTAGTCTGTAACCACCAGCCTTGGATCTAGATGATGAAAAAGCCTTTTAGCCTGTGCTGCTTGGGTTTAAAACAATAAATAAAACAAGTCCCCAGCATGTTGGACATTGCTTCTCTCTTAGTAATGCCAGATTGTAGGTGGAACAAAGGGGGCAAAAGCCTCACTATGTCTGGCTTATCCTGTCTTTGGCTTGAGCTCCCCCTTGCATGTCTGTGATGTTTTTCAGTTCTGTTACCATCATGACTTCATGTTTGCAAGCATAAAACAATAATGTTTAGGTTTTCTGTGTGTAGGAGAGACTGTTTATTTGTTCTTTAAAGCTGTTTCTTTTTTTTTTAAAACAAGGTCTTGTTTGGGGAGAGCTTCCACTTTTATCTTCAATGCTGGGTTTTCCACAGTGCAGCAGATGGGGCAGTGCTGGAGGCACCACTGGGAATGTGTCCTTGGGTCACACTGGGCTGTCCTGCCCAGCCACACCACCAAGATGTCTGAAAGGCAGCAGGCACAATAATCACTTGATAAAAGACCACAGGAGAGAAACAGAAGAGACAAGTGTGAGGCCAAACTTCAGAAACACTTGTGATACAGATTATTGCCTGACTCCAGTTCTGCCTTTGAAAACTCCGTATTTATGACAATCCAGACCCAAGGGAGGAGAGCTGTGTATGTAAACCTTGGCCTTTAAGCTCTCCAGTCTGGTTGTTCTGTCCTTTGCCAGTGTGATCTCTCCACCAGCCACTTTTGGGTGTCTGAGTGTACCAACCCTCAGGGTAGTGGTTGTTGAGACACTTCAAATCCTTTCCACCTCCAGTAACTGCTCACTGCCCACCTCTGTGTGTTTCACAGGGCCAGGGATTTCTGTCTCTATGACAGGTATGTGGATCACCTACCTAGGGGCCGTGGAGTAATTCTGGGTTCACACCAATGCAATTGCTTAGGGAATCTGGTTTGTTTCACTCAAGGACTGCTGTTTTCCATGAAGGTTTTGCTCAGTTTTCCTTCATGCCACAATGCTGCATGGACCTAAGCAGGTAATGGGGTCCTGTCCTGGGATGAGCCACAGCCTTTGGGAAAATGTGGTTTCACATGCAGCATCTCATGGGCACTGACACAGAA